TATTCTTATTGACACAAGAATGGGTAAAGATGTGCAGCTGTCGATACTCATTTTTCGTCCTATTATTATTATTATTATTATTATTATTATTATTATAAGTACTTTTTTATTTTCTGCAGGCTTGTACAAGCTCCAAGCCCAAAAACAGCTAACCCATCAGACCCAAACCAAGCACAGTAACCCAGAGCCCATTGATGCAGCCCGTGTGTGGAAACCCATTAGAGTTTATGCTGAGAGTCCCCAGTGCCGCACGATCTTAACCGTTCGATCGGGTTGAAGATTAACGGATTGCCCAAAAAATTAGGGTTTTCACCTTAATGTGTATGAAGCTACTGCCGCCACTCATCTCAGTCATCCGATCTGGACCCATCCAATGGTTCATATCCCACCAAGGGTCATCTTAACTGTTGCCCGTTTCACCCACTCCTCGGGCATCATTGCTACCACCAACCGAGCCCCTACTATGTCAGAAACTCATAACATATCAACAAGCAACCAAACACCAATACCATACGCAAACGTTATTTGTAACCATTTCATATCCAAAAGAAAGAGAAAAAATGTTGTAAAATCGGGGCTTATAAAGACTCAAGCAAATCTGTAAAAGAGGTCCCCGGGGGGTTGAAAAGAAGCAATAAAAAACAAACTTTTTAAGAGAAAAAATGTATTTTTCCAGTGTTCGAAATAAGAAAAAATAGAATAAAAATAAGTCTTATATGTAACCAAAAGCAAAAGGAGAGGAAGAGAGTAGAAATACCTAAGTCGTGGGGGGGTCTTCACGAAGATCGGAGCTCATTAAAAGGCTGGAGGTCGAAGCCTTTCAGGGGCTTTTTGGGCTTGTTTAAGCTCATTTTAGCCTTATGTTTTTGTTTACGGTTGTAGATCTAGGTTTAGGGGTCATTTCGATTTGATTTGAAAATTTCAGTCATCGTGTGCAGCGGTCGGAGTGGCGTCCGGACGGTAACCGGTGGTGGTTTGGGGAGGCCGGCAGTGGGCCAACTGATTGCTTTGAGAGAAAAAAATAAAGAAGGTTTTTTAAGAAACTGTTTTGAAATGAAAAAAAATAAAGATTAAGTTGTATTTATAGAGTAAGTTAGGGGAAATTGCATCTAGGTCCCCCAACTTACATGTCTTTTTGCAAAATGGTCCTGTGTAGGGATCGTTTTCAGAATTTACTCATTTTTATTTTTATTATATTATTTTTGGTTTAATTGATGTTTAGTCCTCCTAGTTTAGTCGCGTTTTTGCATGTTAGTCACATGTAGAGATTGTTTCTGTGATTTACCAATTTTTATGCAGGTTTAATATTTTTAGGGTTATTTTTGCTTTAGTCATTTCATGTTTAGCGTGTTTTTGTATTTTAGTCTTGTGCAGTGACTATTTGTTTTTTCTTTAAATATGTAGGGGTTGATTTAGTAATTTTACCTTTATTGTTCGAATATGTATATTTTGGGCTAAAAATTAAAATATTTAGGAAATAGTCCCTAAAGTTTTTACATGTGTATATTTCAAACCTCAAATATGTTTTTTATTTATTTTAATTCGGCCATGTAATTTTAATTTATTTTAATTTAGCCCCATGTTTTATTTATTTTTCATTCCTTGTAATTTTAGAATTTAATATTGGAAATGTTCATTTTAGTCATTTGTATACTTTATTTGGTTATAATGTTGTCATGATAGTTTGATTATTTATGTTTTAGTCCTACTTTTATTTTTATTCTAATTTTTGCATGTTGTTTGCATATTAATTCATTTTAGTCCTAATTAATTTTGTATGATACCCTCATGGGCATCACTTGATTTGATTCAAAATAAATTGACTAAGGATAATATTCGATTATTTTAATATTGTCGTAAAGTGATTGTCTTAACATATAAGAAAGTTACTTTCGATAATTTTAAAATGAAAGTTTATCCCATTTACTGACACAAATTAAATCGAATTCATTTTAAAATTTGGGGATTGGGAAAAGGATCATGTTCTTTTAATTAAATTCATCGAAAAAGGACTGTTAGATCTAATCTAAGGTCTCGTCTCGAGATATTTAAATAATTGAACATCATTATTCTCATTAATTATTGGTAAAGTAAATATTTAATTACTTGTTTGTTATGCTTTTAATCCACTTCATTTTTGCATGTTTTCCAGATAGATTTTCAAAATAAAAACATTCGAATCAATATTGAGAATAATATTATCTTTTCATTTTGGTATGAGTGATAAATGATTGCTTTAAGGCATGGGATGTCATTTATTCTCGATTGGAAATCATTAGATATTATCGTTTTCACTCGAATCGCTATTGAATTTTAAGACAAAATAGTATTATCTCTTATTTCAATTGGGTAATAAATGACTGTTTTAATGCACGAAAGGTCATTTGTTCTCGATTGAAAATAATTAGATATTATTGTTTCCATTCTTAAAATTATTTTGGGTGTTATTATTTTGAAATTAATGGTGAAATTTATAATGGAATTTTAATATTTCTTTATTTCGATTGGAGTAAGAATCGATTGCTTCAAGGTATGAGAGATCAATTCTTCTCGATAGAAAATAATTAAATATTATTATGTTTCATCCAAAAATTCAAATAATATTATTTTTCGGGAATCTTAAATTAAATTATACTCGAACTTATAAATCTCATTGAAAAGACAATTGATTAATCGATTAGGTATTGATTTAGGGCGTTGTAGGGGTGCTAATCCTTCCTCACACGTAACTGAATCCCAAACTCGAATTTTGGTAACGCATACCGCAAGTTTGTCATTTTAATTAAAATTAATATTTTTTTTAAATGCAAATATTTTTTTGGGTGTCCAATCACACCCTAATCAAAAATTAGTGGCAACTCCTCGAACCACGTTTTATCATTACCCGGCCATCAAAAAATCATTTGGAAACGAGACCCCCTATTTTCCCCATTCAGAAAAAACCGTTTCGATAGTTATTATTGATAAAATTATTAGGGTTCTCTTTAGGTTAGTTTTCTCTCTAGTGTTTTTCCCTTCTTTTCGAAGTGTCATTTTAAGTGACGAATTAATGTTATCGTCTCTGTTTTTCTTGTTTTTTTTCTTTTTTGCTTAAATATTTTTATTTAAATTTAAATAAACATATTTCTTATTTTGATATCTTTCTTTTCACATATTCTTGAAGCGTTTATTTTTGTTTGTTTTTATGACATGATTGTTCCTTTGATTTTATAGTACAATTTTATCTATCATTATGATGATTTGACATTTCATGTCGCATTCATCACGGCATATCTCCATATCACGAACGATCGATAGTCTCATGCATTCAAAATTGTCCGCAGTGCAATCTATCAGATTGGTTCTCTCAATTTCTATGTCTACGTCAATTTCGTGTCTAGTTTTGAATAGAGACATTAAGATTGTTAATAATTACTAAGTTTTTTGGAAGTTGAAATATGTATTCAAAGGAATATTTTGGTTTTATCATTCTTCACGCCTTTTGAATTTTTATGTTAGAATTATATTACCTTTGTTGTACCTTGCCCTTTGTTTAAAATATAAGTGAGAAGAAGAGATATTCCAATATTCCAGAATTTGCATTCAAAAAGTAGCCATAACTGATTCCTATTATTACCCTGAAAACTATAACATGTGACATTATTAGGTGCCAAGACCTGAGTTTCAAAATTCCAAAATTCTCATTCTCATTGCTTTGTTTTTTTTTTTTGGGACTACTTTTAATGTAGCTATAGACACTGGTGGATGTACAACAAGCTTCTTAGGATGTATACGTATTTATTTTAAAATTCAATTTTTTTTAATTAATTATCTATTTTATTAATTATATTCATTTTAAAATTTTATTTATACTTATTCATATAAAAAATTTATATTATTAATATATATATATATCCATCTTCAAAAATAGTTTTTAATTCATCACTCAATATATATTTCGTATTTATTTCACATTCGGCCACCCTCATAAATAAACGGCCCTAATCCAAGGAAGAAAATATCTGATAATATCAGACGAAAAAATATATCAAAAGAAAAAAGCAACCAAAAAGAAAACTAAGGGGACCCACTCTTAAATATCTGGTGCAAATCATGTGGTTATATTGCTGCCCACTTATCACATTGGACATCTCCACTTCTTCTGCTCCTTTACTCGTGCCACGTGCCCTTCGGTGGGAACACCTATTTCTCTTCCGAAGTTGACCTTTCCCTTTGTTTTCACCTCCTCTCTATTGGGTGTAGACAAATTCCCGTGTATCCTAATTAGCCTAACCCATTTGCTAAAGTCAAATAATGGCCATCCATTTCCTAATGAAAATAAACATATTATCCGTACTTGATTACAACGAAATTTTTTTGACGAGTTACACAATCACATAATTTAATGATAGAATTTATAGATATTAACTTAAATTTTTAAAATGCAAAGAAGTCTAAGTTAAAATTTTTATAAATTTTGAAGAATTCAATTTAATTTTTTTTTAAACAATTGAGGTCTAATTAAATTTTTAAAAATACGATATGTTTAACGAGAATTTTAAAAAATTATAAGAAAGGTTTAATTAAGAAAATTAAAAAAAATTAAAGCTTAATATGAATTTTTAAATTTTTTATAAAGGATCAATTATATTTTTTAAATTTTAAAGGTTTAATTTAAAAAAAAATTAGAATCAACATCCTCACATCTATCCACTTAATTCCGTCATTGCATATAAATTGCGATTAATTTTGGATATCTAGTATATCCTATAAAAAGATTTAATAAATACTCGTCTATAAAAAAATTATTAACATCTTGATTTTCAATTCTTACGTAAGAAGGCTTTTTCCTTTTAACATTTATAAATTAAAAAAAAAAATTATTACACAAGAATATTACAAGTTTAAATAATTTCCCTTGAAGCCGTGGCAGATTCTTATTGGCCGCTTATACACCTCAGATGAAGAAGGAGAAGCATTGGATTAAATCCCGAGCCTTTATATGCAAACTCTACCGCCTTCCCCAACTGTCGCGTTTCTGATATTTCCCCGTTTCAAAGCTAAAGAAAAATTATATGGTATCCCAAAACCCGAATTCGGCTGACGGATTTTACCTTGATCCGACTGGAATGGCTTTCCCCGGTCTCGGTACCTTAGATGCCACAGCTACGGCGGCCTCCACTGCTTCATCTTCCGACGATTCCAATAAGAAAATCAGAAAGCCCTACACCATAACCAAGTCTAGAGAGAGCTGGACTGAACCTGAACACGACAAGTTCCTCGAAGCTCTCCAACTGTAAAGTCTAAACCAGTTTCCTCTTTAACTCTACCAATTTGATTTGCTTCCATTTCAAAATAGGGTTTTTTTTTCTTTTCTGAAAATTGTTTATGATTGTTTTTTGCAATTAAAGTTTTAAGGTTTTCGTAGTCCCCCCCCCCCCAAAAAAATTTCTTGTCACCTGTGTAGTATGCGTTCCTTTCCTTATTATGTTCAGTTAGCTTTAGGTTTCATATCTAGCTGAAAAGGCACTGAATTGTGATAAGCTTGTTTGTATATTTGAAGACTTGATAGCAAATCCTCCAAGCTTCCAAACTGTAAATTGTAGAATCTGTTTTGATGGTACTATACTTTTTTAACCACTGTGAAAGTTGTACTCTTTTGAATGTTTTACTGTTTTTTCATTTTTTAACTTTTTTATAGAGACAACATGACATCGGTTACTTAAAAGGATTTTGTAGATTTTGACTTAGTGAAGTTGTTATACTAGTTCTTTTTTCTCTTTCTTTTTTTGGGGGATGGGGGTTGTTACATTGGTTTCATGTTCGAATCATGTTTTTTCTGTAAGTTTATTTGCTAAAGAGGTTTTTCTTGCTCTCACCATTTTCCCCCTCCTTGATTCTGTTCAGCTTTGATCGTGACTGGAAAAAGATTGAAGCATTTATCGGTTCAAAGACTGTTATTCAGGTAAGCTTAAATATACCCAACATTTTCCTTAGGCAAGTTTAATTTTGCATTTTGGAAGGAAAGAGAGAGGAGGGTTGAGCAATGAAGGATATCTTTATTCTTGTCGGCCATAGTTACTTAGTATTCTCTCCTTTGCATCCTATATTTCAAGTTTCATTTTGTATTTTGGAAGGAAAGTGGTAGGAGGGTTGAGGAATGAAGGACATTTTATTCTTTTCGGCTATAATTACTTGGTAATCTCTCCTTTGCGTCCTACACTGCTTTCCAATGTTTTAATAGAAGGCAACAAATTTGCTATAATGTGAAAATCAATTTAATTTCTATTTAAAGTGTTCTAAAACAATTAAACCAATGGTCATCAGTTCTTGACAAAAATTTGAAGTGAAGTGCCTCTTTTTTTGCGTGCAGATTCGTAGTCATGCCCAGAAGTACTTTCTAAAGGTTCAGAAAAATGGAACAAGTGAACACCTTCCTCCACCCCGACCTAAAAGAAAAGCAGCTCATCCATATCCTCAGAAAGCCTCGAAAACTAGTAAGGATATTCTGTCTGAAATAAGAGTTGTAATTTTAGTACAAACTTGATATAATAATCCTATGTGTTTGTAAAATCTTGCAGCTCATGGAAACCCACAACTATCAGGCTCTTTACAGTCGTCAACTGCTTTACTTGACACTGGATATGCTCTGACATCTGATCCCTCGGCGATGCTTATGGACCCTATTACCAGTGCTGCTGCATCTTCATGGACAAGCAAAGAACAAACGATCAGTTTGTCACAAGCTAAAAATGGTTTCCTATTCTTCCTAATTGTAGTATTCAAACGTTGGAGTCATTTGCAGTGACTGCTTTTAAAATCTCTATGATTTTGATTATATGTAGTATATTTTCCCTTATAGGTTTAGGGTTAGCCAATAACTCTTGTAGTAGTACTGAGGATACCCCGAAGACGAGACAAATTGAGGAAATAGCTGCTCAGAGAAATCACAGTCATGCACTAAGAGGTTTGTGTTCTAATGAAAATTTGTAATATCTTATACCGACATCCTCGAGCCCTTTTAACTTGTTTTTTGTTTGCTGCAGTGTTACCTGACTTTGTTCAAGTATACAGTTTCATTGGCAGTGTCTTTGATCCAAAAGCTACTGGTCATCTGCAGAAACTTAAAAAGATGGATCCTATTGATGTTGAAACTGTATGTTATATTTTTAACATGGCGATTTATACAATCTTGCCTGATATTTTTGCAGATATTATTGCTTATATTTCTTCTCCTGTGTAGATTTTGCTGTTGATGAGGAACCTCTCCATCAATTTGGCAAGTCCTGATTTTGAGGATCACGTATGTTTCTATTTCTGAGATCTCCCTATTGGGTTACTTTTCCTTCATGGTGTGCATGATGTGGTTGAACTAGTAGCATTGCTTTTGCTTTTTGTAGGTCTATCAATAGTTATAGCCTGTTTTTAATAGGTCAAGTGGTTTGATGTGAACAGATGTTTCATTTGCAACATCCTTCGGTGTCAACCATTTGCAGCACTGTGCTTTCTGCCATGTAAACTAAAATGAGTTCTCTGTAGTTGGCATTGAGTATTATGATTTAAAGTATGATGATGATTCTTATGAATTTAAGATATTATTGCATATCTTGGGTGAAATTGGCTTCCTGCATGATTTATTTTGCATGTTGGAAGTTGTTTTGTGATACTGTTCTGTCATTATCCAGAAAAGTATGGTTTGTTAGAAATAAGCATGTATTGTCTGATGAGGCTGAAAATATAAAGGATGGGTAACACACACATGTATGCATGCGTACATGTGACCTGCATTTTAGGAGCATAGATCGTCTCTAATTTTTGTTCCCGGGGCTGTACACTTACAAATATAGTTCCTTTGAACTTCCTGGCTGTGAATCTTTTACTTTGGCTTGTTTTGTTGGACTCCTATTCATGCCTACATAATTTACAAATATAGTTTTTCTGAATTCTATGGGTTTTTTTTAATGCAGAGACGGTTGCTTTCATCGTATGAGATATCCACAGATAGCCTTGATGAGGACCGATCACAAAGTATGACTTAAGATTGGAGGTGATGAGAGTTTCTTTAATTTAAGCAGAGCGTAATGTTAGTTTTTAATGGTATGGAGTATTGACTCTGATTTCATCATGGCAGGCCAAAAGGGGTAGATTACCAGGATGATGTGTGTTAGTATATACAGTGTTGGTAGGATCAGCGGCTTCGAAATATGCAAATAAATTTCCTGATTCTGCTGTCATATTGAAATAATATTGAAAGAGGAGTTGAAAGAAGCGAATGCAGAATCGAAGGAGAAGAATCAGCATGAGTGTACAGTGCTTTTTCTTTTTCTTTAAAGGCTATTTTGTACAGTGCTGGGATTTAGGTATATGTGTTAAGTTTTTCATTTGCATAATTTTTATTAATGATATTAAAATATTTGTAACGTATTCTGTTGCTTTGGTGCACTATCACTGAACTAGAAACTTCTAATCTAATGCAAACCATAGCCCACTTCATCAGTAACTTGAACTAAAGTATGGTAGTTATCCTCTCTTTATACCAACAATGGCCAGTTTTTTTCGTATGGTATTTTTTTTTCTGTGTAACAGCTCTTTCTTATTTAACATAAGAATAAAGTGTCCAAATTAAGCGATTTAGTGGTTAAAAGGATAGTTGTTATCTTTAGAATATCAAGTCTGAGTATATCATTTGTAACGATGTTTAAATTTACGTTGTTAAAAAATTGTGGATGTTCGCAAAAAATATTATCTTGGACCTGTATAATAGAAGTTTAGCAAATGGGTAAAGTCGTAAAGAGGAGATAAAAACATGCTATATAACTTGTCATATAATATTTACAATATTTTGTCATTCATAATTCTTTGAAAATGTACGTTTAAATACCTTTGAATTTACAGTTTTCAAAATTGGAGGTAAATATATATTTTAGCATATCCAAGATAGTAAAAATGGTATTGAGAGTTTCTATTTCCATTAATATGAGACTCAGAAACTCTCCATGTACTTCACTTTTAGATTTTAGTAGTCAGGTGATGGAATGTTGCTTTTGATTGCACAAAGTGGAATATAAATTGAAATCCCTGGTAGTTCTTTAATACCTAGTGGCACTAATTCAATACAGCAAATCGTAGATTATACATATCCAGGTTTTCAATCTTCAGAACGGGGATCGAGCTGTATTTTTCCGACAAATCAAGTTGTTGATAAAATAAATAACTAGATGCTCTTCAGGTTTTCAGTTAAATAAATAAATAATCTCATTGTAGATAAAACCTCACATCATTCGGAAATGTTGAAGAACAATTATTATACCTCCGGAGTTATCCCTTTTGCAAACTTTAAAGTCTTATTATCGAAAGAGATTGTTAGTTATATCATCGTCTTGTTATTGACTTAATAGTACAGTGAAATAATTGAATGTATAATTAAAATTTAATGTTATAATTGACAAAATTGAAGGTTTAATAGTATAAATGAGTCATCGAGTAAAATTTTCTGAAAATTACAATTACAAATATGAGTTAGAGTAAATTACTAAGTAATTTAGGCCGGCTCTTTATCAAATACGGATTGAGTTCAAATCAGGTCAATTTTTATTTTTGGATTAATTATTTTCGTCTTTCGCGAACGTTGAATTACAATTTGTAATTGTATATGATTTAGAGTAAATTACTAAGAATGTAAATAATCATGGATCAATTTTATGAAAAATATAAAATTAAGGACTAAATTGCACAAATATGAAATTACAAGTAAAAATTTAAATTAATTAAACAACTCACACTGATGGGACCAAATCAAAATAATTTTAAAATGTGAGGTTGAAATTAATATAAAAAGTACTATATTATACCCATTTAAAAAGTTATAGGCCAATTAAAAAATATAACTAAGTAATAAGCATGGGTCAATTTCAGATGAAAATATAATTTTAAAGACTAAATTAAAAAATATGAAATTACAAATAAAAATGTAAATAAATTAAACAACATAAAGGAATCAAATCGAAATAATTGTAAAATGTGAAGAAAATCTGTAAAATATACTAAATTACTTCCATTTCAAAAGTTGAGAAAAAAAATCAAACAATTATAGTATATATATTATGTATAAACTATATGGTTTATATATAAAGTATTTATATTATATATATAAACTTGTCGTAACTTTCCTTCAGGTGGGCCCGAAATTAAGCTTCGACTTAAATCAATGTATCGGATTTAAGAGTCGATGACAATCAAGGAAGGGTTAGCACCGTTGTACTACCCATTCAGTACCAATTTAATTTCTCGGTTGTCTTAATTGCAAAAATTAAAAGTTAAATTAAAATTTAATGATTCGAGTCGAATTACTTACCTTTGATCGATTAAAATTGCCACTAAAAAGTAAAAAAATATTAGATTGTAAAATAAAAATAAATAAATAAATAAATATTAAGTAAATCAAAGAGAAGAAAAAAATGGTTAAATTAAGAAAAAAAGAATAATAAAGTAAAATTTGTTAAAAGAGAAAATGAAAAAAAGTTTTAAATTTTAAAAGAAATAAAAAAATCTTAAAAATAAATAAAAATTTAAAGGATCAAATTGAAACGAATTAAAATTTAAGGATCAAATTAATTCTAGAAATGAATTGCAAGAGAAAAATAAAAGGTTAGGGGTCAAATTGCATAAATATAAAAATATAAATAGGGATTAAATTGAATAAATTTAAAATTTAAGGGAAAATTTACAATAGGTGACCAAAATGAATTACGTATCAAAACTTTGGGGACTGCAGAAATAATTTAAGTATTTACTAATTACACCAAGATCCCCATTTATAAATATCCCTAAAACAAAAAAAAATCATTTTAAACTTTATTCTAAAAAAAAACTCTCAAACACTCTTAAATACTCTCCCCTCTCCTCAACTGGCCCCAATGGTCGGCCACAACTCCAGCGAAGCCCCGCCACACCGACTGTAGCTCCGACTACCACCACTGGTGGTAAAAAAATCTAAACTTACCCACAAGCTTTCTCTCGACCCCATAAAGTGAAATTCGATCCCTAAATCCCTAAATAAGCCTTAATCGGCGTAGATCTAAAAAACAAGCCTCATTTTTTTACCTTTTTGGGAAAGTGTTTCGTGTTCTGGTGTTTTCCTTCTGACTCCACTCCTTGATGATCTTTGTTCCCTTCGATGGGAAAAAGATTTGGCTTTTTCTACTTTTGATGATATTTGAATAGATTGTTTGGTTTGGTTTGATTTTGTTGCTATTTTGTATACTTTGCTTTGTTTGCTGCTCTATGTTTTTTTTTCGTGTCTTCAACAGCTTTGGTGTAGGGGTATTTATACCCTCACTGTCGGTGGTTTTTTCACCCCCAACAGGATGGTGCAGTCTCGATATTTGGGGTATTTTGCACGTTGTGTTCGTTGCTTGAAAATGGGATCGATTTCGTGCTTACCAAAAATATCGGGGTGGCTCAATGTCGATCCGTTTGGCCGGTTTTTGGATTTAACTAGCTTATGGCCTTCACTCACTCCCAGTGCGACACCCTTCCATGATACAAAACCCTAATCTGGTTTGGGCTAGGTCAGACCCCCTGACCAGGCTGGCTTGCTAGGTCAAGCCTGTTGGCTCGGTTGGGCTGCACTTTGGATCGAATTGAACTCGAACTTGGACTTGGATCTATTTTTTTAAATAAAAATAAATAAATAATATAAATAAAAATAATAATAATAATAAAATAATAAAAATTATATAAAATATATTATATTTTAAAAAACAATATGTTTTAAAAATTATATATTAAATATATTTCCAAAAATCGTTTTAAAAACCTATATATATGTTTTCAAAACTATATTATCTACGTTTTCAAAAACTGTTTTAAAACTATATATATTATACATTATATATATATTATGCGTTTTAAAAAATGTGTTTTCAAAACTATATATTATACTTTTTCAAAACGTATTTTTAAAACCTAACTATATATATTTTCAAAAACCGATTTTAAAAATTACATATTATATGCTTTCATAAATCATTTTCTAAAAAACTATATATTATATGTTTTCAAAAATATTTTCAAAAACTATATTATATATACACACTAAATAAACCCTGGATGAAAATGAATGATACAATTACCCCTCTTTGCCCATTATCGTGTAATGAAAATAGGGCAAAGACAAAAAGACACAAATTTTCGTTCGGTATGAAGGGGTTCCTGAGTCTAATATCCTCCCTTGTGGAGTTGAAATTTGACTCATATATCTCAGTTTAGAACAACTCCCTATTATTAAATTACAGATGACTCTTTCGTCGTGAAGTTGAGTCACTTTCAAAATGTCTTTGAGTGCAGTATTCTTCGTCATGAAGTTAAAATCGTGGTTGACCCTTTCATCATGAAGTTAAGTCAATCTTGAATGTCTCGAGCTTGATATCCTTTGTTGTGAAGTTGAAATCTATCTTGATGCCTGGATTAGGCGGTAAGTCCTCGCCGTTGGTTTGATTTTAAGTCTCTTGCTAGCCCAATACCCTTTATCGTGAAGTTGGAATTTGACTAGATGACCATAGTCAAGAGATAGTTCCTTGTTGTTGAGTGAAACTATGTTGTAGATGACTCATTTTGTTGTGAAGTTGGGTCAATCTCATAGGCACGATATCCTTCGTCGTGAAGTTGAAATCATGGGTTACTCTTTTGTCGCGAAGTTAAGTCGAAACTTTTGGGCATGATATCCTTCGTTGTGAAGTTAAAATCGTGGGTGAATCATTCGTCGTGAAGTTAAGTCAAAACTTTTGGGCACGATATCCTTTGTTGTGAAGTTGAAATCGTGGGTGACTCCTTCGTCATGAAGTTAATTCGAAACTTTTGGGTATGATATCCTTCGTTGTGAAGTTGATATCGCGGGTGACTCATTCGTCGTGAAGTTGAGTCCCAATTGAATTTGTTTAGAGTCGGATATCCTTCATTGTGAAGTTGAAATCCAACTAGGATAAGATGTATTGTTTCTTTGAGTTCAATATCCTTCGTCGTGAAGTTGAAATTGACTCCGAAAAAAATCTATAAAATTATGCATATATGTGATGTCATGGATGCCTTTGAACTGACTCACCGTTAGATGACTTTTTGAGTGCAAATTTTGTCAATGGGACTTCAAAAATGAGACAATGTTTGGAAGAGTGCAAAGTTCCTCCCCAAATTACTAAGTCTATAGAAGACTTGGATGTTGTGATGCTTTATTGCCTTGA